ACCCTTCCCCCCCCCCGGTACCTGTCTGACATAGGGGACACCCCCCCCCAGCACCTGTCTGACATGGGGGACCCCTCCCCCAATCCTGCCCCCCTCAGCCAGGCACATCCCCATGGAAACATCCCTCACAGCCGACCTGCGTCCCACCCCCACCCCCACCAGAGGGGGGTGCTCCTGCCCCTCACCTCCAGATCCACCCAGACCATCCTTTGCCCCATGCTGCCCCCAGCCATGGCCGCTGCGTCCCGGACCCCGGCTCCCAGTGCCGCCAGCAGCCGGCCCCCGGCTGAGCCCAGCAACCAAGCACGCATCGCGACAGGCCGCAAAGTGTCAACCTGGGGACTACAATTCCCAGACGCCCATGCGCCATCTCCCCATTCAGTCCTGTGACTGTTCTGGCCCGGCGCCTGCTGGGAAATGTAGTCCCCCCCCCCCCGGGGCATCACAGGAAGGAATATTTCCACCCTCCCAAACAGCAGTGCATGCTGGGGCTTGTAGTCTCCACACGTCCCCTATCTCCACGTCTGTACTGCTGCTAACTCTCAAGGGCAGATGCTTAGTTTTTATTCTGCTCCAAGCGCGCCTCTACAGGGAGTATCTTACACTGAGGGCTGTTTAGGTTGCAGGTTCTAGTCCATGACTGGGGCTCCTAGGCACTAAGATAATACCAATAATTTAAAAGAAGTAAATTCCATTTACTTCCTCAAGGCCGGGACCTCTAATATTGCTCATTGACGCAGCTGCATCATCAATAGCCTAGTCTCCCATAAAACACAAATAAATAACAAAATAATTCATAGAGTGAGCCACTGTGACATGAATGGGACAATCAGAAACCTGCTTAGTTGTCACTTATTTGTATTATAGTTAAGGCTAAGATTTTGTCACAGATATTTGTAGTAAAAGTCACGGACAGGCCATGGGCAATAATGAAAAATTCACGGACGCCCAAGCCCTGTCTCTGACTTTTACTACAAATATCCATGACAAAACGAGGCGCCTGGGCAGCTGTAGACAGGTTGGGAGCTCCAGGGTCCCCTTCTGCTGGTGGCTCTGAGCAGTGGGGGTCCCACTTGCCGCCTGCGGCGGCCAGGAGCAGCAGGGGGTCCGCCTGCTGCCGGCAGCTGCAGGGGGCTCCCCACCTGGGGCAGTAGGGGTACCCCGCTGTTCCCTGCCTCCGCAGGCAGCAAAGGACCCTGCTGCTCCCAGCTGGCGCTGGCTGAAATCACGGAGGGCTTTGGAAGTCACGGAATCTGTGACCTCCATGACTAAATTGCAGCCTTAATTATAGTACCTGGACGCCACTGCACCAGGCACTGTGCAAACATAGAAGATCCCTGCCCCAAAGATCTCACAGTCAAAACAGGGAAGACAGACAAAAGGTGGGAGGAAACAAAGTGATCACAGTTGCCCCTTAATCCCCAGGCCCATATTTCCTTTCCATTTGCTCTGGAAAATAATCATTCCCTCTCAAATTTGTATTTTGTGCTGGTGAAAAGTGCCAAATTGGCTGAAGCTGGAAATTGGATAATGAACTCCTCTGCGTCTAGGACAGGTACAGTATAGGCACTGCTCCCAGCAAATGGGCATCAGCCTTCATGTAGGAACAACCTCCAGGAGCGAGGGGGGACTTCAGACTCTCCTGAGGCTGCCAACAAGAATGCCAAATGAGGATGGTTTTTTATAATGCAAAACCTGTCCACTAGAAAGTGGACCAAAACCCACCAAGTCATTTCATGTAGGGGTTACGGAACAGCCATTAGATAGTGACATCTGGTGGGAAAGCCATTCCCAACCTGACCTGCACTCAAATGAAGAATCAAGAGGAGAAAGGGTCTGTGCCCCATTGTCAAATCATTGAACCCTCCCCAACCATTTTTAATTTCATGTGTAAGTCCAACTTTGTTTGCTCACGTGAAGCACACAGAAATGTTCTTGAGGCCCTAAAGTAGCCAGTTAGGAAGCAGAAACTACTGCATTGTGGTTGTAGCATAGGCGGCAGAGTGAAGTATGAGCCACGTTAGGGTGTTCAATTTTAAAAAAAACATAGTGCTGCTTGGATTTCCCATCAGGTAGCATATCACCATGGAAAAAACAAGCTTTATTTTAAATAAATAAAGCTTTCCCCCCTGTGGTTAGGGCTGTCTCATTGCATCAAAGCAATATCACAGCAGGGCACTGGAGTGATGGGCACAGCATTTTTTTTTTTTGACAGCAGTAATATGACCCTTAATTTACAAAATGAATTTACCGATATGCCAACAATGGCTGGTAATTTGGTGCTTAATTGCAAATATATCTTGTTTTCAAGCACAGCACCAAGAAGTTATATTCAAGCTGGTTTCAATAACGGGAGCTTAGGTACACACATGTGCACCTTTCTCATAAATGTGTTTAAATGCGGTTTGGTAAATCCAAACAACAGCTTCTTGTGGCAGTTTCTCCAACTTCACTACAACTGGAGGTGGCTTGTGGCCCCTAACGAACTTGTGCTTTTACTGATTTCTTGAAACTAAAAACTTAGATGTTTGCTGAAAGCTGCTCTCAAGGTTCTCAGTGCTTTCCAGAGAGGAAAGTGCTGAATTTGTTTGTCTCGTTTGTCAATAGACAAAGTTAAAGTAAACTACTAACAAATTTGTCCCAAAACAAATTTGTCCCAAAACAAACTAACTTTTTAAAGCCTATATCCACTAGAAATGTTTGTATTTTTTTTAATTCCAGGGGGAGCAGTAATTCTTTAAAGAAAACATTTATTTCAAAACAATTTTTCAGAAGGAAATGCATTTTTAAATAAACATTAAAAGTTTAAAAAGTCAATTACAAAATTTTTTGCCAGAAGCTGAGGATGGATCACTTTATGATTACCTGTTCTGTTCGTTCCCTCTGGGGCACTTGGCATTGGCCACTGTCGGACGACAAGATACTGGGCTAGACGGACCTTTGGTCTGACCCAGTTTGGCTGTTCTTATGTTTGGATCATTTCAAAATGTTTGGTTTTGTTAAGTTTCAAAACAAACTCAAAACTGCAGAATTTCCCACAAAACAGAAAACCCAGGTCCTATTTAATGGCCCTGGCATTCTAAAATCAGAACACCTATTCAGCACACTTGGTGCATAAATCCAGGTGATTTACAAGCAGTTCATGGATATATGCATAAAATACCAATGGTACTTTTAATTTTTACATTTCTAATTTCAACTAGCATCCTACAGAATCAATATCTAAATGTCCAAGATGTCTTATAGATATGTTTTTAATATGGTAGTTTTCTGCTGTTGCAGTCACAGATCTTACAAGTCATGAAATATCTCATTGTGAAATAGAAGGTGGTATGTGAAAAATATTTTAGAAAAGGTAAAGAATTCTAATATATTTTTCATAGTAAAATCTGGCCTTGAGTGTTTATTATGAAATTGTCACATTACCACATCTATTAAAATCTAATTTATGAGGAATTTTAGCACTAGATCTTATTGCCTGGTACTACTGCTAGCATTTTTAAGTAAAAAGAACATTAAGACAAAATACATGATTTATTAAACTAACTTGTAGTTTTTACATTGAAACTGTTATCCAAGCAAGAAAAGTCAACTTAGCTATGTCTACACCAGTTTAAAAAAATACTTTTCCAGAATGTATACTGCACAAGGATCACAAATGCTAGTTTTCAGTGCTACAAGAAATAAGGAAGTCTGCACTTTTTCAGCAGTTTCCCAGATGCTATCCCAACACTTCCATTATGATGTGTGCTTCAAAGAAATTGGTGAACTAGCAGAGAGAGAAAAAAATCACCTGCATCCTGCTAAACTTCCCCTTCTTATTTTTCATACCAAAACTTTTTAAACAAGCGTTCTGAAACTGTGACAGGATGAACACACTTATATTTACTCAGCTAAAACCAATCGCTTCTTTCTTATTTACAAAATAATTGATATTTTCTGGCAAATTGTATGGTTAGGCTCATATCCAAAGTTTGTAAGCAAGATGTGGTTTTCTGTCTTCCCTGCAGCTCATTCAGCTTCTAATTAAATTCACTGCACATGTTCTGAAAATCATGCCCAATAACTTATTCAGAGAGCAGAACAGGTCATGCTAACTCAGAATGTGAACAGCTTAACTTTCTAGAACTAGCACTATACAGAAGGAAAAGGTGAGTTAAATTATGATTGATATTTCATTCTTTGCATGTTATTAAATTAAATGGATTGGTAAGTTTTTTTAAATTTGAGTGTTATACTGTATATCAGCTAGGGAAAAGGAGACAGCAAATAGTTACTATTTGCAGAGGATTGGTTTTCTGATTGATGTACTAACACGTAGTAGTAAAATGTCAACTTTGCTGAGTATCTACTGTATAGCCTCCAATTAAAAAAAAACAAAAAAACTCCCAAAGGCCAAGCCAAAATGGTTGAGTTCTGTAAAATTAAGGATGGAGTCTTTGAAAGACATCCATTTGTTATTCCAAAAGTCTTCTGCCAAAAGTATTTTTTTAATTTATTTTTTTAAATCTTCCAATTAACATAAAATGAAATGTTAGCTACCATATCATGTATCAAGTCCTCCATCTTTGCTTCATAGGAGCCACAGGAGGCGACCAGCCCAACTGACCACGGAGAATCCGAAGTCTCATGGGAGACCCCAACACAGATACTGGTAGGACCTCTCCCCTCCCGCCCCCCTAGCTGAGTTAGTGGCAAGTTGCTACTGTTACAGAGGCAGCCACACCCCTTGGTGGGCGCCCCACCCCCATTGAACTCTGGCTGCTAGGCCATACTGCCCTGCACCCAAGGGCTGGTCCATTGACTCTGGCCGCTAGGCCGCGCTGCCCTGACCCTAGGGGCGTAGACCATCACACATGGTGGAGAATGTGGGCAACGCCCGGGACCAGCTGAAAGGTCCAGGGGAAGGAATCTAGACGATGGGAGCCCCACTGCCATCCAAGATGGATACCGAGAAGCTTCTAAAGTGGATGCTGGAGAGTCAGCAAGAGCAGGCGGCCCAACAGCGACAGCAACAGGCTCATATGATGCAGCAGATGGCGAGCCAGCATCAGGAACAACAGCAGCAACTCCTTCGTGACTTGGCTGCCCAGCAACAAGTACAACAAGAACGCCTGGTCCAGCAAGTGGCAACTCTACTACGCCCACCGGGAGCCCCAGCCGCCACGCCCACCGGGGCGGGATCTGGAGAGACTTTGGCAGGGCTGCCGATATGCCTCACTAAGGTGGGGCCAGGGGACAACCCCGAGGCGTTCCTGGTCACTTTCGAGCGGGTCGCTACAGCCGCCCAGTGGCCCCTGGAGCCGCCTCCTGAATATATGGACACTCCGGGCGTCAGTTTACCATTCACAGACTGTCTAGTGGAGCACTTTAACAGTACCCTGAAGTCCATGTTGCAGAAAATCGTGGAGGAGGACCCCAGCCATTGGGATGCACTATTGCCAGCCCTGCTGTTCGCTATAAGGGAGGTGCCCTAAGCATCGACTGGGTTCTCACCCTTTGAACTCTTATATGGCAGACAACCCAGAAGAATCCTGGACCTCCTGAGGGAAGACTGGAAGGCGCAGGAGGCACGAGTACTCGGGATCACCCAGTGTGTGTTACACCTCCAAAAGCGGCTCTGAGCCTTGAGTGCTTTCGCCCGAGAGAACCTGATGCGGGCCCAAAAGACACAAGAACGGATCTATAACAGAGGAAGTAAGGTGCGGAGTTTTGACCCGGGGGATTGGGAGTTGCTTTTATTGCCCTCTGCAGAGTCAAAGCTCCTAGCCGAGGTGACCCGGCGGGTCGGGCCAGTAGATTACGAGGTCCGGCTGCCAGGATGATGGAGGGATAACCGTACGTATCACATAAATCTTTTGAAGGCCTGGAAAGCAAGAGAGGCCCTGTTCATCACCCCGTCACTGCTGGCCCCAGAACTTGGACTGCTAGCGGGGGAACCCCTAGATCCAAGGCAGGCTACGCTTAGGGCAGGACTCACCCCAGCACAGCAGGAGCAAATACAGCATCTCATATGGGACTTCCCCTGCCGAGCCATCACATTGTGACAACACCCAGTCAGAGAGTGAGGGACGACCACAATCTGCTGCCCCGGAAGATGTGGGCCGCAGTACGACAGGAACTGGATACAATGCTTGAGATGGGGGTGGTCAAAGCGTCAAGAGTGAATGGCGAAGCCCAATCATTCTGGTCCCAAAACCTGATGGGACCACTCGATTCCCAGGTCAATGCTATCTCCCGGTTTGATGCGTACCCAATGCTCTGTGCAAAAGAACTCATAGAACGACTCGGGGGAGCGAGGTATCTATCAACCCTAGACTTAACTAGAAGGGTACTGGCAAATCCCCCCAATACCAGGGGAAAAAACGGTCTTTCCAACGCCATTCGGCCTCTTCCACTTTGTAACCATGCTGTTCGGGCTACACGGAGCCGCAACGACTTTTCAGCGGCTGATGAATAAGATCTTGCTGCCTCACGATCAGTATGCAGTGGCTTATATAGACAACACTGTAGTCTACAGTAGTAAGTGGGAGGACCACCTTCGACACCTCACTGGGGTGTTTCAGGCCCTTAGAACAGCTGGCCTCAAGGCCAACCTGGCAAAGTGCGATCAAGCAGGAGGAGGTAACATACCTCGGGTATGTTGTAGGGGGAGGGAAATTGCACCCCCTAATCAAAAAGGTACAAGCCCTTATGGATACACCCACACCCAAGACAAAAAAACAGGTATGCCAGTTTTTGGGACTGGCTGGGTACTATCGCTGTTTCGTACCAGACTTTGCAACCGTAGCCCGCCCCCTTTCGGACCTGACAAACTCTCAGCTGTGACAGGTGCAGTAGTCTGACCAGTGCAACGAGGCCTTCCAAGACTCTGAAAGAGCAACTCACACAGGAACCAGTCCTGCGACACCCCGACTTTACAAAGGAGTTCATAATCCAGACACCTCAGAGGTGGGCTTAGAGGCCGTACTCTCCCAAGAGCTGGAGGAGGAAAAACACCCAGTAATGTACCTGAGTTGCAAATGATTTCCTCGGGAACATTACTCAACAAAAGAGAAAGAGGCCCCAGCCGTGAAATGGGCTATTGACGCCCTGCGCTATTACCTGCTGGGGAACACCTTCAAATTGATCACGGACCATGCCCCCCTCAGGTGGATACACAGCATGAAGGACACGAACCCCCGGCTTATGCGCTGACCTCTCACTCCAACCTTACGACTTTCGCATATTTCATCATTCAGGTAAGACCCACGTTAACGCAGACTTTTTTCTAGACAGGGAGGGGAGGAAGAGGAGACGGACCGCCCTTGGGGGCCCTTCTTAAGGGGGAGGGTGTGTGACGGGGTCTGCTTACCCCGCACTAGCCCAGACAGGGTGAAGTCCCGCCTCCCCAGCAGGACTGGGCATGCTCCAAATACTCTAGCAGTATAAAGGAAGGAAGCCCAGCTCATTCTGAAGGCTGCGGAGGAAGGACCTTTCTGGGAAGCTCCTGTGGAGGGCCAGCCACAGCTCCTGACTACGCCAGGAATCAGAGCCTCCCCAGGCCCGCTTGAACCCCGGCAGCTGGAGGAGCCACAGGAGGCAACCGGCCCAACTGACCATGGGGCATCCGAAATCTTATGGGAGACCCTAACGCAGGTACTGGTAGGAAATGACCCAGAGACGGTAATGGAGTGGTACCTTCCACCCGGGAAACCTCAGTGTTTTGGTAGGATGCCCCTTCTGAGTGAGTGGCAAGTTGCCATGCCACTCGTAGCGCCCAGTGGAGTCGGGTGGGCCTGGGTCCCCCTACAGGGGCAACTACACCCCTTGGTGGGTGCCCCACCCTCATTGAATTCTGGCCGCTAGGCCAGGCTGCTCTGCACCCCAAGGGTGGCTCCATTGAACTCTGGCTGCTAGGCTGCACTGCCCTGACCTTAGGGGCACAGACCATCACACATATGTAACAGAAAATGTTCTAAGAGCATCACAGCATTAAAGTTACTTCTCTTCATATTATTTGCACCTTGCGTAACTGATTACAATATTTTATTCTCATAGTTGGGTGAATTTTTGTGCTAGTCAAAAATGGAGTCTGATATTAAATGGAAATCCTCTTTAGTCACACAGTAGTACAAGTTCTCAAACACACATCAGTTTGATCTGAAAAGAAACTTTATGGAACATGTTATATTTAAAAAAAAAACTAAATGAATTATGGAGCCTGACAATTACAATACATGAGAAGAGGCGAAGACTAGGAGACAAGCAACTAACAAATTTTATATAGGCCAAGTAGATTTGAACTATTAAAATCTAGAGTTTAGTCTCCATGTCTCAGTACTGCAACTTGTCATCCAATGCCAAGCTTTAAATAAAGATAGGGTCTTTAGTGATATCTCAGTTCTTTAAATCTTTCAGGAAAACACTGAGCATATTCATTCCTCTTGACAATACTGGCTATTCTAGTTTCCTTACTCTGACTAGTTTGGTTTTGAGCAAGTCGCTGTGACTTAGAATGTTTCTTATGTAAAAGACATTAAATCAAAAGTCTGAAAGAATTAGACTCTTCAGTAAGTCCTCTAGTTGGTTCTGTATTTCTAATTACCACTCAATTCTCACTCAACCATCAGTTTGACAATCACTAGCTATGTAGGAGAGACACTAAGATGCAAGCTGAAGAGAAGCCGCTTACTGTAGAGTTTACTTCTCAACATCCTCTGAAACTTTTCACTGAATATGCTTTTATAAAAAAGTTTATTGCTATACTGAAACATAGGAATGCATATATTAAAAGGTGATCTGGGCACATGAATAGAGTTCAGTTATTTAAACAAGGTTTCAATACATGTGAAATTCTGTCACACTAACAGCCTCTTAGTTACTAATCTGAAAGAAAAAAATCAACCCTTATTTTTGGATACTGTACCTCAGTCATACCACAATTTTTCAGCAACTGATTTAAAAGTTAAATAAGTAATATTGCATAAAAATTAGACATACATCGAAAATACTTATAAAATAGGCACCCCTGTTTCTCCTATGCATTAAACAAAAATTCTTCACATCAAGAGGTACAGGCTAAATTTAGATTTTGTAAAATATAGACAACCTACTTCAAGGCATGCAATCAGTTCCTGAGTGGTTTTAGTTACATAAACATAATTTCTTCAAACATTTTAGGCTACTGCACATAATTTTAAAACAATTATTAAAATCAAAAGGCCCAAGATTGGAACAAAGGAGAGCATATTAAGTCCTTAAATGCAAGAATTTGGAACACTGAAATTGTTTTATCCACAGATTTTACAGGGCAATTACATTAAATACTATTCTTCAATACATTTTCAAAAGCAACATTTATTTCAGTATGAAAACACTGTCTTCAATATTTAAACTGCCACATGTATCATATTACAAGGAATTTGTTTAATGGGATTACCACCAGACCTGTTGCAGAGACTACTTTTTTTAATTACACTAAAAAAATACAAATTTTCTTTATAATACAACCAAGCTGTACAATTTCACCAAACTACAATGATTTTTTTTTTAAAGTTGTGGCACATTTCTCTACATAAAACCCTGAGGTGAAAGGTTAATACAATAAAAATGAAGCTGCTTTTTCTTTTTAAAAAAAGGTAATGCACGTGACTTTACAAACTTTTTTAAAAGGTAACTTACGATGTTACTCTATACACTGTTAAAATCAATTTGAGACCTGGAGGAGAGAGCCCATAAAAGTTCTTGAGAGCCCACTTTTAATACTGGCTAATGCCGGGATGGGCGCCATTTGCCATCTCTGTAGTTCTCTCTTCGGTTATAGTCATGGCTCCAGCCATCGTGGCTCCTGTCTTCATAGCAGTACTCATCCCTGTTCCCTCTGGAGTAGTGATCAGATCCAGGGTCATGAGGACTCCTGTCTTCATAGCTGTACTCATCTCTGTTCCCCCTGGAGTAGTGATCAGATCCAGGGTCATGAGGACTCCTGTCTTCATAGCTGTACTCATCTCTGTTCCCCCTGTAATGATGATCAGATCCGTAGTCTCCAAAACGCTGCTCACGGTTAAAATGTCTGCTGTCCATATGATAAGGATGGGAGTTCAGCCTGTTCTTGCGCTGTGCTGATGAGCCATCTGGACGACGCTGCATTTGTGAGCCTGAAGACTGATTAAATGAATGACTCTGCTGCTGCCCCGGTGAGGTATAAGTGGACTGATCTGAATGCGGAGAACCATACTTCCCACTGTATTGTGACTGCTGCCATGTACCACTATTCATCTGGGGGGAAAAAAGGCTAATCAAGAAAGAAGTCTAGCTGAGTTGATGGATACTGAATCAGCATTTGGTTCTGCTGAGACTGGATGACTGATGGAACAGCTTAACAGTCCATGGTGCAAGACTTAGGACAGTTTTTTAAATGCTTATAAAGGGGTTAGGAGTTCTGCATTACATAAATAGTAAATACAGGGGGAATACCATGCACTGTGCATCAGCATTCATGGCAGCCACACTCTCTCTACTGGACACTAACATCATACAGCATTTTCATCCCTCTAATGAATTGGGCCTGCTTAACTCCTCTCTTCTAAATGATATACTAAATAAAATTCAGGATAAAAAGCAAGAGCGTTTAATTTCTTTGATGGTTTTGGTTGAAGTGATTACACTGAGCTAAGAAACAGATGACCCAAAGGAGACAAAAAGAAAATATGTAACATACTGACCTATTTTTGGCTAGTGAGCATTTGTTTTCAGAAGTTTACACTCAAGCAGCACGAAAGAAATCAGAGCTGATGGTTTTATTCATACGGATGCTAAGTTGTCCTTTGTGGAACCATATTTGCTCCTCAACTGAAAAGCTTTGATGTGAATACTTACTAACAACAGAAGGACTGGATGCAGGTTCACAGAGTAAGTTTAGAAGTGTACACTGATTGCTTTATCTATAGTTACTCTTTGGTTCAAAGAGTTTCCAGGCACTAAACACTTTAGTGGCAGGAACTGCAATCGTACTTTCAACACTCCATAAACACATTCCTGTGAATCGGTATCTGTTAAATAAGTATCCCTCAGTAAAAAGTACTTAAAATTAAAAGGAGAGAGTTCTTTCATGTGTTATCCACCTACTGCTTATGACCACTAGCTTTAGATTTTCTGTTTCTATTAACTTAACAGCATACCACTTGTCTCTGAAGGTTATCAGGAGATGAGAAAGACCTCTGCAGCATCTGCACGGATGTGAATCCTGTTGCTAACGTGTTATCTGTGCTCCTATCATATCTGCTGAAAAAAGATTAGGAATTTTAGTCTTTAGTGTTTCATACCATCATTGTGCAAGTTAAAGGTGCATCAGCAGCCTAATCACATTAGGTTTTTTTGTTTGTTTGTTTTTTAAACCAAGTAGTGCTGTAACTTTGTTTAAAGGCTTGCTTATTGTGTGCATTTGACAGCCCTTTGCCCACTTATTTCCCCTTTTCTGTGTGGGTCTTTCACACAGCAATGGAAAAATATTCTTAAACAGGGAAGTGACTCAGACCACAAGAATTGGCAGGTGGACTTTGAGACAGGAGTGATAATACCTGAAAGTGCTTTTAGCTTTTCTCAAAAGGGACTAGTCATCAAGGTAACAGCATACCTTTAACATTCTCCCATTGGCATAATTACTCCACCTTGGCGAGAAGCGGAAGCTATCAGTGGGAGAGCATCTTCTGCCAATATAACACTGGTGTGGACAGCACGAAACTTGCATCGCTGAGGGAGTGTGGGGGCCTTTTTCCACACCCGAGTGATATAAGTTAGATCAACTTAAGCAGTAGTGTAGTCCTGCCCTAAATAACTACAAAATGTCACTAGATTTTCCCTAAAAGAACACAGCTCACTACAGCATATAAAGTGGAAAGCTTTAGAAAGTAGTGTTTCACATGGGGCATACATTTTTCAAACTTGTTTTAAAAAAAAAAAAACCCACCAAATACTTTTCCTCACAGTAGGTTCCTAATTTTTATTTTGTTGCCCAGGAGATACAACTGTGCTCTACCTACAAACGGTATAAATGACTAGGAAGAGGGCCTCACACTGGAAAGAAGGTACAACTGCTACTCTGCCCAGAAGCAGGACAGCAACTACAGCAAAGTCCCCATATATTAAATGACTAAAGTATTTATTTGATAAGCACTTGCTGGGAGGTGGGACAGAAGTCTTTACCTGTTGGAATTTGGTGTTGAATGTGGTGTGCTGGAAGGACTTGTATTAGCAGTTCCATGCTGGGAATAAGATGAATTGCCATCTTGAGATGCATGACTACTCCCTGAATTAAAACAAACATTTTTAAAAGACAACCTAAAGAATGAATGGAAGTTCGGATAAGAAGTGAACATCTGTTAGAAGATGGAAACACTTTTGCATTGCTTAATTAGCTTTGCGGTTTCATCAGTGAACCGCCAAGGCACACAATCCGGTTTACAAAACAGGGTGTTGCAACTGTTTTAATACCCAATGGTAAAGATGCAATCAACTTGCAACATTCTTGCTAATAAACCTAGTTTAACTGCAATCAGATGCAACTGTTACTAACATGCCAGTAACAGTAATTTGTTTAAAAAAAATAATCAAATCAATACCCCTCTACCCCCCACAAAACTAAAGCTATGAGGAGTTTAGAGCAGTGATCCTCAACCAGGGGTACATGTACCCCGGCGGTACTCAGAGGTCTTCCAGGGGGTACATCAACTCATCTTGATATTTGCCTAGTTTTTACAACAGGCTACATAAAAGCACTAGTGAAGCCAGTACAAACTAAAATTTAATAGACCATGATTTGTTTATACTGCTCTGTGTATTATACACTGAAATGTAAGTACAATATTTATATTTCAATTGATTTATTTTATAATTGTATAGTAAAAATGAGAAAGTAAGCAATTTTTCAGTAATAGCGTGCTGTGACACTTTTGTATTTTTATGTCGGATTTTGTAAGTTTAAGTCAGGTGAAACTTGGGGGTTACACAAGACAAATCAGACTCTTGAAAGGGGTACAGTAGTGTGGAAAGGTTCAGAGCCACTGGTTTAGAGTATCTCTTGGAGCTATAAAATAGATAATCTAAACATATAGCAGGAAACCTTTAGAGTGAGCTCTCCTTACCTTGTAGGAAAGCTTATGTTTCTTAAGGCAACTCATTTCACTAATGATTTGAGCCTCACCTCTTGAAAGCAATGGACTCATCAAGGCAGGGACCATCTCTTGTACTATACACCACTAAGCACAATAGGGCAGTAATCTTAGTTGCAGCCACTAGATACTATCATAACGTATTAATAATCTGAGCTTTGCCTCTGACTCCAGTGTATACTGTATTACACTCCAAATGACTAAACTGTGCATTCACTGAACTCCATTTTTTCACCGATGTAATAGACATGAATATATTTAATTGTTTACGGACCCCACTTATCTGGTACTACATATATAAACCTTTTGCATGAAACCCAAGAAAATAAAATTAATTCTATGGCCCACGGGCTGTACATGGACCACCAGAGCATTTCATAAGGCTCGCAGCCTGCTCCAACACAATACGCTAACAGCCAATTTATTAGCATTTTGTCATGCTTGCATCATTTTAGTTTGCACAAGTGTGTTAAAAGGTTTTCTATGTACAGTATTGTCTGTCTAAATACATACAAAACATGCTGAACTTAAAATATAAATCAATATAGGTGACTTTAAATCTTACTAAAATATGTAGAATCTGTTTGACCCACACAAAGTTGGGTTTATGTGGCCCTCCTGTGTAATAAGGGTGGGCACCACTGATCTAAAGGATTACCACCATTTTTTGAGCACTCTTAACCAAGAATTCCAATATTTATTTCCTTCCTCTTTTCAGGCATCACAGTCAGTCCCACTGGCAAACCCAGGCATTCACTCAGACTCTATATTGTTGCCTCCAGAACATTATACAACCTCATGACTGTGCCTCTTCAAAACCTCATTAGCATCACAGGGAAAAAAAAAAAACTAAAACAAAAAGATTCCCCTCTTTCTGAACATGCAAATTCCAACTCTCTTGAATTTGTTCAACAGCAGCAATTTATCCCTACTTGAGAGATCTTCATTTGCCATCCTATCCATTTCCAAAATATCTTCAATAATTTGCACCCTCTGTATCTTCCTCTCTGGCAAACCTTGTTACTCCCTGTACACTAATACAAGACCTCACTTCTTGGTCAATAATCAAAACTGAGGTGAGAGACTAGGACTTTTGTGAAAAACAAATCCCATCATTTGAGTCTGAGCCATTTCTGCTGTTTCAATGCTATTAAGACAACTTTGGGTATATACTCAACTAAATCGGAAGGCTCCCCCCCCGTACTATGAATCTGAACAGCCTTGAGAAAATATAGAAGTTCTCTAGATACACAGATGTAATTGACTGATTAGGATTACTATAGTCACCATTCACACAATATTTGCAGTGTAAAAAACAGAACCTGAAATCAAAGTTACACACAAAAAAAGCAACTTATGTTCAGGCAGAACTGACAGACAAGTTTCTTGCTTCAGGAAAAGTATAATAAGGAAAGGCTAGTGTACCATCTGTTCTGACACCTTCATTTCACAAATATACCAACCATTAGAAAAGTGAATGACAATTTGATATCCTACAATGAATATCCTTTTTATCTAAAAATATTAAATATAAATAGTCAAGTTTTTTGTGAAGGGGGAAAGATAACTCCACTTTGCCTAAAACAACTAGATTGTTTAAATGTTTATTTCATGGATACCTGATCGGAACTGAATTTTGATGGGCCTTCCAAAAAGTTTGATCCCATTAAGCAGACTCATTCCATAAGGGACAGATTCTTCATGTTTGAAATTCACAAATGCAAATTGCTTTGGTTTACCATCTCTATCCTTAGGTATTTTAACTTTAATTACTGGACCTGCCTGCAAATCAAGAAACAAAAAATGTTAAATAAAAATGGAGCAAGTTCAGAAGAGTTTTACTCTTACAAAGAAATGGAAAAAGGGAAATCAAGAAACTCATAAGCAAGCACACAAAGACCACCACACCCATGCTCGTTCTGCAGAGACAGGTTACATGCATCTGTATTTAAGTGAAGCTGTTTGGGGCAAGGAGTATCTTTTTATTATGCATGCATACAATGTTGAGATAGTGTCCTCTAGGCACTACCACAATACAAAGAGTAATAGTAATAAGAAGCAGTTATAGTTATGCAAGCCACCTATGCCACTCTAAGAGCAAAACGTTTACTGCAATAGAAGGGTAAGACTACATCAAATTAGAAAGGGAAGAAAGAGACCAAGGAATAGGCTTGATCAATACTGCCAGCCACAAGCAATAAAAATAGTGACATTGGTTTAAAAATCATGACATCTAACAATAATAAGTTTTGATTTCTATGTTTCCAGGTTTGAGCCTTTAGGTCACCACCAGGTCACATTTCAAGCTTTCCTTCACAATTATGATGGATATTTTTTTTAAAGTGTTAGTTGATGGTTCAGTGGTGAGGCACTGGCCTATCCTAATAAGTGGGATATTAGAGTTCAAGACTGGTGACTTCCTGTATGATCTTGGTTAATTCATGTAGCCTCTCTGTCCCTCAGTACTTCACCTATAAAAATGAGATTATTCCTCCACCTCAGAGTATTGAGGACAATACATTAAAATATGGCAAAGTGCTCTGAGATCTGCTAATATAAAGTGCTGTAAGAAGTGTGGTATTATTCTTCAATCTACTTCAGCTGTTGTGCCTTCACAAAAACACACATAATATCATGAGCTTGGCAATAAAATTGTAAAAGTTTAATGGTGCTGATGCAGGATTTGACATGCAAAATGCTCTGATCTGCCTTTTGCAGGAGGTCAGACTAGATCAGGGGCTCTCAAACTGTGGCTCAGGACCGCAAAATGGGTCACGACCCAGTTTTAATGGGGTCACCAGGGCTGGTGTTAGACTTGCTGGGGCCCAGGACTGAAGCCCAGGGCTTCAGCCCTGGGCAGTGGGGCTCAGGTTACAAGTCCCCTGCCGGGGGCTGAAGCCCTGGGCTTCAGCTTTGCTCCCCACCCGCTGCATGGGGTGGTGAGGCTTAAGCTTTGGCCCCTCCACCTGGGATGGTGGTGTTCAGGCAGGCTGAGGCTTTGATCCCACCTCGTGGGGTTGTGTAGTAATTTGTGTGCAATGAAGTTTGAGAATCACTGGACTAGATCATCAGAATGGTTGTTTTGGGCTTTAAAATCGGAGTATGTCTCCACTGCACAACTAAGCCCAAGCTCTGACTCAGGTTTGAGCCTAAGACCCCCCCCCCCCGTGGTGCAAATCAATCTGACTGAAGCCAGCACGCATTCCGGACCCTGCTGGAGGGGTGGGTCGGCATCCGAGTCCCGCTGTAACATGTTGCGGGGTGGCTGCAGCTCAGAGCCTCGGGCCAGGCGTGGCCAGTGCCGTGTGGACGTGTTAGCAGGGCCGCGCGACAGACCCGGCTCCAGGGAGCGCAAGCCCCGCTGTCCAGTGCGGGGGGGATGCTCGCCCACCGGCTCAGAGCGCGGGTTAGCGCGCAGGGGAGACCCGTCCTGCCCTCCGCCGGCCTGCCCCGGGGCGGAGGGGGCTGCGTGTGCGGCACCCTCCCCGCGGGTCTGGTCACCCCAGGCTGGGCCAGCCCGTGCGGCCGGGCCCGCGGGCGGAGCCTGGCATGGGGGCGGGGCTGACACCCACTCGCAGCGCGCGCGCGGTGGGGGAGGGGGGGCGGCTGCTGCCGGAAACCGCCCGGTCTCTTCCCGCCCTCTCAGATCCCGCCCCCAGGGGAGCGCGGCAGCCGATACCTGGTGGAAGAGCTCGAAGATCAGCTCCTCGGTGACCCGGGGATCCAGGTTCCCCACGAACAGGGTCCGGTTGGCCTCGGCCGCCGCCGCGCCCATCTCCACACACGGGCCCCGACTTACTGCGCAGGCGCCGGCCGTGTATTGCGCAGGCGCAGTCGTTTGAGGGCGAGGCGTCGCTTGTCGCACGCTCGCCAGGGCGAGACCTTTACGCCTTCCCGCGAGAGCTTCACGGTGGCAAGAGCGGGGGGGGGAGTCTCTGCTCTGCGCATGCGCAGCCCTAGGAGGCATGGTATAAAAGCCACGTGTTCCACCTTTGTGAGGAAACTGGGGGGCACTGTGTGGGGAGTGGTTGCTGCTAAGGCGGGAGAGGGAAGAAGTGGGGCTGCAGCTGGACTGTCTGTTAACCATAGTCCTGCAAACATCATGAGGTTGATTTAAAAATAATGAAATTCCCAATCTATGGTGAATTGGGGGTGGCTTTCTTTGCCTTGCAGATGTTGTGCCTTTAGGGCACAGTTCAAGCATTTCCCCTCAACTGTCAGGGCTTGGAAACCTGTTTTTCATTAAGTCTCATATAATCATATGACTCCAGAAGCTGGGGCTTCTAGAGAAACCCCTCATATTGTGAGAGTTGGCAACACTGTAAAATGATACAGGAATCAGTGGGTGACTTGCTTAGCAGGAGCTCAGCCTAAATGATCATTTTGGACCTTTAAAATCTATATGTCTGGGATGTGCTGTATAAGCATATGGGGGGAAAGGAAAAGCTGTAGAAAGCACAAGTTCCAGTATGTGCCATGTTGTTGAGAGAGAGAGTGAATGTTTCCCAGCAGCGGCAAGGGACATTTGTTTTGCAAGAAACTAACCACACCGATAGCTGAGGGCCGTGACACAAAGTATTATGCCCAATAACACCAAATATGAGAAAGTGTAAGAAAGATACTACCAGGAATCCCAAGATTTATCATACAACAAACAAACCTGTGCCTTACCTTGAAAGATGGCATTCTGCTGTGTAACAACCTGCCAGCTGATCCAGAATGGACAGTAAAGACAAATGGGCAGAGAAACTCATACCCCAAACTCAGTATGTAATCCTATTCTGGGTGGGTGGTACCCACCTCTGACAGATACCTGAGGGGGTCTGACTTTCTCTTGCACAGTGCCAAGAGGTAAAGCTGAAGTCTCATTGAATTTAATTCAATTGCTCAGTTCTGGGGAGCGGAGGGAGAAATGCCTAGCTCTGGGAAGAAGGAAGGGACAGAATAAAAGTGAAGACCACCCATAACCATATGACACAAAAGAAGGCAACAGGCTGATTCCCTGCAGACTCAGGAACACAGCTGGGCATTGAAGCCTGCAGAAGGATGTTAATCAGTCGAGGTGAAGTACAGTACACCGGGTAGAAATGAAAACATGGCTGCTGCCCCCAGGGGCATACAATCTAGAAGCAAAGATCAGACAAGGTGCTCCAGGAGATTCTGGCAATGGGGGTAATTTTACATATTTTCTTATTTATAGGAAAGTTCAGATTCTGCAGGAACTGATGGGAGTATCATGGCAAAACCAGTTCTGGTAGAAACTGATCACGCACGCACATACACAAAAAAACTTTCCAGTGCCTAGATACTATGGTGCTGGGTTGTACAAAATCTTAATGTCCTGGCTGTGATGTTTGAGGTTTTTTTGCCCCCCCCTTCCCCCCCCCCCCCCACGTGGTGGTACACTCATGCACCTTCAGGGATGCAACCCTCAGTATAGATATGCTACAATGGTGTAACACAGGATGTGTGTAGTTACAGCAGTTTAAATTTCTCCACTTTAGACAAGCCCTAAGGTAGTTTTGTAAATGCTTGTTTCTTTCTAGCGTTAAAAGTTTTCACAACACTAGGGGGCTTTATAATCATGGTTTCCCCCAAACAGTTAAGAATGATAGATTCACCACCAAAACTTCTGCTGAGAGTATTATAGATTGCTGTACACAGAAACTGCTGTGAAATTCAGTCTGTGATCCATGCCTGAAGTTTACTGGAAACTAGTCTATGATTATTTAAATATTTTTTAAAAATAGCCTTGCATGTGTTGTTTTTCAACCCATCATTCTGAAAGGACAGATGTAAAGTTGCCCCATACAGGAAAATAAGCGAGTGCTGCCATTTCAAATATAACTTTCGGAGGTTTCCTGCTCCCCTTCTCTTTTTTAAGTCTTTATTTTGTATTCAGTCTGGTTTGTATTTTTTTATAACCCGAAAAATATGTGCGAGTGTTGTTGTGACCTGGCATATGAGCTCTCAGCACCAGTCACTCAAATTTGCCCCAGCCGGTCCCAGTCGTCATGACAGAGGATTAGCTGGGCCAAACCTGAGCAGTGCTGCAATCCCATGAAACAAGTTGCACTTCTTAGAATGTAGAGCCAACTCCAGCCAGTCCTGGGGGACTAGAGCCACACAGTTTTAGAGTAGGGCGTGGGAAACATCAGTTGAACCGCTAAGGATTGTTTTAAAATGTATTTCTGATATAGATTTATAGAATTGGGTTTCGGGCTGTGATTTTATTTTATTTAAGGTAGAGGATGAGAGCATTTATATTGTGAATATACAAAAAAACTAAAAGGTAAATGACAAAAGCAATCACGGAAGTAACAAGCTCTTGACCTGATCCAAAGCCCTTTGAAATCAATTAGGCTTCTTTTGCCCCTCTGTTAACTCAGCCTTGCAGAAAACTGTTTTCAGCTAAATGACAGCTGGGCAAAGGTTGAGGACTTACTCCATCCACTTCATCTTTCTGAGGTGAGAATTCTATCATCCCAGGAGCTCATTGATCTCACTGAAGGGTTATTTTCAAAGCCTAGTTAAACTATTGTACTTCAATTGACTGAAGGGAAAAAGGACAAAATGTTGCACTTCAAGAACACAAATACCCGATAAATATAAAAATAACTTGCCTAGTAAAATATTATTCAAAAGCCATTAAAAATTTCTACAAGAGGAAAACAATGTTGCTACACAATTATAAACCTAAACTGATTTTTTTTTAAATGAGACATATTTCCTAGTCCAACTTCCCTCTCAGAAGCCTTTCAGGCCTTTGGCAATACCATTATTGCTTTATGACTACGATTGGTACTAATTTCCTGTAGGTGAACTTTTAATTACTGTTTTTAAAGGGTCTTAAATTTTAAATTGAGTGAAGGCTGCAGCATATTTACAACAATCCTAACGTACCGGGTCAATATAAATATGCAATTACCGACCATTGTAGACATAGTCTCATCTATAAATATGTCCTGCTAACCACCCTAACACACCTGTAACATGTCATGGGGAAGAGCCTTGGTGTAAATTGTCATAATAATAATTGTCATAATTGACCTTAATGGAGCTAGGACAGTTTACGCCATCTGAGGATTTTCCTCCATGTGCCCACATACAAAAATACTGCCAAGTGATCACTGTTCACCTTGTCAATCCCCACAGGTACTATAGCAATGTGGATGGGAATCATTGGTCTGAAAGACCCCGTGATGGAAACAATCATCCCACAATCTACTCCATAGGGGTCAAGTTTGCCAGATGCCACTTAGTTGCACAAATAGTGCAGCATGCACTGTGGAGCTCATTTGCATGCTATTTTGCCAGTGATTGACCTTTCTTGCCAAGCCGGGGCAAGAACTTTGTGTGTATCCTGGTATCTTGGAAATGGCCCCTGTTCCTGAGAGTTGTGAGTTTACCAGAGGATTATGGAAGCTTGGTTGCTTCTCCCATGGGCTTTCAGAAAGCCTTTTAAAAATCTCCTGAAAGGAGTTGTTTCAAAGAACTCTTCTGGGAATAGATATCTCAAGAGTAGTGTAATGGCAATGGTATAATGTAATACAAAGCCCAAATCCTGCAAACATGTATGTGCTTAATTTAGATTGGGGTCCAAGTGTGGACATGGGGCAAAACTACACCCAAAATTGCTAGGGTACACACACTTCTAACAGCAGTGCTGTCTCGCCAGTTCAATTATCATTAATTCATTTCTCTGGGCATGGTATACATCTAAACTTAGGTCAACCTAGCGACATCTCTCAGGGCTGTGAAAAATTTCATGCCCTGTGTGATGTAGTTAGGTTGACCTAACACCCACTGTAGATGGAGCTAGGCAGATGGAGGATCTCTTCAATTTACATAAAAGGAATGGATTTACTACAGCGACGGAAAACCCCCTTCCATTGCTGTCGTCAGTGTCTACACTACAGTACTCTAGCTGTGCAGCTATAGAGCTTGTAGTGTAGACATACTCCTAATCTAAATGTAGCCAGAGAGTCTTGTATAATAAATAAGGAGATGCATATATGCAAACAGCAAGAGAATGGAGCATTTCACTTCTTCATTCGACTTCGTTGGTGTATATTCCTTTTGATGGCCTCCACCATTCACAATATTGCCTCGTGCAATGACACTAATGAGGAACATGCGACTTTGTGTTTCTACTTTAAACAGCTGGGTTGCTCTTTAATGTGAATATGCTATTTGTGTTTTTATATTCGGGCAGAGTTCTGAACCGTCAGATCTCTGACTTAATTGAGGTTTCTTTTGTGCTTTGCAAAAGCAGTTTCCCTTCCTACATTTGTTTCATTAAATGGTAAGTACAGTTCTTGACAGGAAATTTAGCCCTCTGGATATTTCAGAACATGTAAGAAGTAGAACATTTCTTTCCATGTGGAAGAAAATTTGAAAGGGGAAGTTAAACCTGCATTTTTCATTGGATTTCATTGGATTTTAATGCACTATGGAATATCCTATTTTCTTGTTAATTGTTCCCTTTTCATTTCCTTCAGGTCATTACTTATTATTACCAGACATAGAATTTATATTGATTTCTTTTAATCATGTTTGCCTGGTTAAATTCTAAACAATTACTCATTCAAAGCGGAAATTATTAACCAGCTCTGCCACGACTTTCAGTTTGGCTTAATTTCCCTGGAGACTCATTTAGTTTTCTCGTTGGATCCCCTCAGGTTTGCCTAGCAGAGTGTGCGTGTGATATTTATATCAATAATGATTTTCTCCATGTGTGATAGAGTCTTAGAAGCGAGCTGCCAGAGGACTCTGTTGTCACTTAGTCTGATGTCTCGTCTCATCACCAAAAGTAACGTTCTTGGTCTCTTGGAGTC